AGTTTAGTGATCGTGCCCAGTGGACTGGGAACCACGGAGCAACAACGGCAAGGCCCGCTTCCAAGGACGGAGGCAAGAAGAGAAAAGACCGCGGTTTTAGAGTAGAGAAGAAAAAATTCCCACCTGTGAATGTGGTATGTTTGTTTTAGTTTTTTTTTTTTTTTTTTTTGGTGTGTGAAATTGTGATCGGGTTGATCCCTGAGATTGAATAAAATATGGTCTGGTGTGCAAAAGCTCTAGATGGTATGAATGAATGTAAAAAAGATTATAAAATAAGAGGGTTTATAATGTGAAAGAAAAATAAAGAAAGAAATAATAAAAATATATTTGAAATCAAAAATGAAAGATGGGGGAAATAAGGAAAGTGGGTTGGAGAAAATAAATAAAAATAATAGAGTGTGAAATCAAACGGAGGGGAGATGATAAATTTTTTTTTTTTTTTTTTGTTTTTTTTTTTTTATATAATAAAAAAGAGATATATATATATATATATATATATATATATATAAAATAAAGAAAGTGGGGAAAGTGGCGGTGGATGCAAAGTGGGTTGGAAAGTGAAAAGATGAGAGAGAGAAGGCATGTGGGTGGTTGTCCATTGTGGAGGACAAACATAGTGGGTTATATTATATTCAGAAAGTTGTCCATTGTGAATGATGGTTTTGATGATGGTGATGGAGGAGTGAGTGTGGAGAGTGAAGGGTATTGAAGAAGAGTGAGGAACGATGGGTCTGTGAGACATATGCTTGTGAGAGAAAAGGAATCTGAAAGAAAGAAGAGATGGGTGTTGTAGCTTTCTCTCTCATCCTGGCATTACCGTAAGGGATGAGCTCGGAAAATGGAAGACATGAACACGACTGGACATTCAGCACTCCACATGTCAACCTTGGCATCATATTGCTGAAATTGCAGAATTTCTGGGGCCATATACAGTGGAGACCCGCAAACTGTCTCTGCGTGATCATTAGGATGTAAAATTCTTGAGAGACCAAAATCAGCAATCTTTAGCACTGCATCACTATGAGGGCTTGAAAGCAAAATGTTCTCTGGTTTCAAAGTGAAGGTATGTGTTGTGTAGAAAATAAGCGGAATAGGTTGAGGTCCGGTGGGCGGTCAAGGCAAGGTTGCCGCCCGCCGGAAGGCGAAGAACACCAAGATCTTTAATCTATAGCTCTGATACCATGTAAGATAAATTGATAGAGTAAGAGAGAATAAATTGTGTATATATTGATTTATTATTGATTGATATAGATATTCTGTCTATTACAAATGGTTCCTTATATAGATGTATATAGATGTAGGTGTAGTGGAGTAGGTGGTGGTAGGTGAGGAGTAGGTGAGTGTAGTAGGTGAGTGTGTGGTAGGTGATGGTAAGTGTGTGGTAGGTGATGGTAAATTTTAACTAGTTGATTTAGAGCAACAAGGTTCACTGAACATGAGCTTAAACAATTATCAACTGGCAAGCTGAAATGTGAATAAACATGGAATAGCGAATGTGTGAGCTTAAGAAATTATCTATTATATGTAGAAATGTCATAAAACATGGTATAGTGAAACTCCAATTATACATTTGGGGGAAAAACATATACAAAGCTGAGATAAATACTTAAAGATGGCTCAAGATAAATCTTTGTCAAATCTTGCAATCAAGCCAAGGATCCAAGTCGTACAACTACTAATGAAGTTCGGAAATTTCTTAAGCACGGGCAAGGAGATGGCTACAATATTACTTAGAATATCCTAGCCTCTTGGGTTATGAGGGATGTGATTTTTTATTTCCTGTTGAGACCTAGACTTTCAGGTTGTGATAGTATATATATTTAGTCTTGGAATCACTTGATGTCACCTCTTGGAGCTAGAGGTTTGTTTGCCTCTTTGGTTTTTCATTGAAAACCATCATATATCTTTCTTTTGTGGTAATAAAGCTCAATCAAAATATATATATATACTAACCCTTTTACCAAGAATTTAGCATCCCCATAAGGTAGACACCTCAATTTTAGAAAGAATGTGGTAAGCAGCATGATTGTCTGACACTTCAAAGTGACAGTTGTTCAAAGTTAAATTGACATTTTCAGCATATAAAAACAGATTACTGATCATGGACAAGTGTGATGGACACTCTCTTACAGGCACCAGCAACAAAGAGGGCTTTTTAGGGATGAATATTGTTAGTCCTTTCTCAAATCATGGAGTTTTCTACATTCATAAATGGGAAAAGAAACTAAGAGTTTGGGGTCAAAATACACATAAGGTGTACTTTACCTCCTCTGTGGTGGGCATATCAGTACCCTACAAAGGCAAAAGCACACAATGCATTGGCCGTGGACCTGGATACCTGATGTAATATTAAAGTTTCTCAGTGTTCACCTACGCTGCAGAATTGGATCTTCATTAATTATCTCTCATTACCCCAGGTCCTCCATGTAGCACTTTGAAAATCAATGCCTCCCCAGACAGATAGCAGGGCTAGAGGAGCTCCTTGATTTCAGTGCAGATCATAAGGTGATTATCACATTATAGGATTCTACAGGTTCAGTGGCAAAAATAAAATAAAATTATTAGTGACCAACATCATACTAACTTATAATCAAGATAAATACAGGCACGAGTCATATCAAAAAGGCTCCTTAGTTGTTGTCCTTCCCACAGCTTTGTTTAGGCTTCAAACTTATTGTACTTGTTTACCCAGTCAATAGAAACATCATCAATTAGACAATTACCCAACATCTTAATGCATATAAATCTACAGCTTAACATATCCAAGAATTTTTAAAATACGAAAAAGGAGAAAACAAAACCGTAGAAAGTTTTTATGTTGCATGTTTATAGTGAAGGAAAACGACATGAAATTCAAAGACAAATTACAGAACAAACTATTACTTTCTAATAAAATTTCTTTTGTTGCTAATCAAAAAAAAAACAAAAAACAAAAAACAAAAAACAAAAAATTACCAACTAAAACAGACACCATAAGCATAAGTAACCCCAGAAGTGGTGCAAGTTCGGGGGATAGAGTGAAGAGGATGCATATTGTTCCAACCACCTACAAGAGAAACAAAAGTCAGAGATGGTAGAATGACCATCATACAGAATTTCCACCCAAAAAAATGAAAAAACACAATACTGTTTCAAAAACTGGTAAATCTTGTCTCATACTAAGTGCAACTCAAAAAATAATATGGTTGTAAATAAAATAAAATAAAAATTGGATAAGTTGTCACTTTTGAAGTGAAGTTCATTATAGTTATAAATAATTAATATACATGCTTAACTGTGTCCAACATAAAGCTCACGTTTGCTTAGTGAAGAGTAGCTTGCCTCAGAAAGTGCCCTAAATCCACGATCCCTTGATATGTTTTCACTCACAATGTCTTTAAGAGAACCCAAATCAGATGTTATTAATGCAGTGAGTACACCACCCTGTCACAACACAGCCTAATTGAACTATTTAACTAAGTTCTTATGAGTTTTCTTATTCTTTTCAAGCCAAAAAAAGAACAGCTCAATCTTGAAATTTCATTGCCTTCACTTTTTCTTAGAAACCAAAGTCAAATTTATATATAGTTTTCTTTCAGCTATTGTAATTGTGTTCTCTACTTAAGTTTGTCTTAGCAAAATTTGAAGCTTAGCCCTTCATTAGCTGAGCCAAGACCTATAGATTGGTGTATTTTTACCCTGATAATAACTATGCCGCTTTGCCTACCATACCATGTGTCAATTTTAAGCGTTGCCGATAATTCGCTTAGTAGTATTCAATCAGAGCAAGGTACCTTGAATTTGCAGTTAAATCTGCAAGTATACATACATACATACATAGGTATATATACTTGTACATCTACACAAATGGAAAGCTAACATGCATTCCCATATATGTTTTGTCATTTCCAGTCAAATGCTGCAAAAATTGAACCAAGAGGAAAAAAACATACTCTTTAAAACTAAAAAACATATTATTTGTCCTCCCTTTTTTTCCCCTTTGAAATAGCGAGGGGAAAAAAAAACATACGCAACAAGTTCAATAATTCATATTCAATTAACATATAATTGCAACAAAGCCATAGAATTTCCCTATATCTTGGAATTTTTATTGTACGCCACATAACGCATTTAAATTTCAAAATGTAATGCCATTTGATATGGGAACAATCGTGGATAGAAGCTATGTTGCCTCAGCAAATCTATGAATCAAGAAAATACCTTTCTTTTCTTGGCTCTCTGCACAAGTAGTAAATAACAGGACCACCCATGTGTAGCAGCTTGAAAAAAAAGGAAACTCAGAGAACATACCAAGATACAAGTTTATCAATTTACATGGGAACTACACCAAAATGATTATTAGGAGAGTTAGAAAGCAAGAAATGCCAAAATGAGATTCCCAAAAGAGGCAAAATAATGGACTAGAGAGAGACAAAGTAGATCTGATATTACCATGTTAGCAGATCGAAGAGAGAGAGAGAGAGAGAGAGAGAGAGAGAGAGAGAGAGAGAGAGAGAGAACAGATCTGATTGAAGAGAGAGCAGATCTGCATCTCTTCATCGTTGAGCTTTTACTCACTATTTCCAACGATCCACATCCAACGCCACCTGCTTGTCCTGTACATGACCCGAGAGGCTAACACTGCACTCGAAACCGTAGATAAATCGATTCACCATTGCTGCTGCTCAATCTGATGAAAGAGAAGAGTTTTCTACACAAGGACTAGAAAGAGTAAAGGAACAAAAACAAAAGGAGAAAACACAAAACAAAAGCAAAAAAAAGCTAGAAATAAACTAAATCGAGAGAAAACAATTCCAAATCGTTAGTTTTAGCCATGAAATTTTATAGATCTTGTGTGAATGTAGCAAATCTATATCAGAAAACCCTAACCTTGAGCCCTGGATCAATTTAGATTATACGGATTCAAATAATCTAGAAGATATATGCTCCAGAAAACCCTAACCTTGAGCCCTAGATCGATTTAGATCATAGCAATTCGAACAATCAGAAAGATATATACTCAAGCCAAGAGTAGAACAAGATTTTGATCTGTCAAGAGTAGAACAAGATTTTTCAGATCAAACAACTGAAGAATTGATGGAGATCGAAGATCCGATGCGTCGAAGATCCATCGCCTTGATTTCTTTCTCTTCCTAAAGTCACGCCTCTATTCAATCAGAATAGAATGACGTCATAGCCTTGAGTTAAGCCACTGTTTAAAAGAAATAATCGGCGCACAAAACGAGATGATTTAGTTTAATTTTTTTAGACTTTGAAAAATCTGGACAGATTTCACGACGTTTTTGGAAAACGTCATAGAAAAAAACGTCACTGTATGCCCTTTTTCTTGTAGTGCAATCACTTGGTATTCTACAAAAGTGGAGATGCTAACTCTCACAAGTGCTAATCTAACTATTAAGAATTGACTTTCGCAAATCAAAAAAAGTACAAATTAAAAATTTCTATGATATTATCAAACCATACTATCAATTTAAAACTACTAAGTTATTGTTCATGATTTATTTGAACGTTAATAAAAATAAATATTTGATTTGGTGACATAGTGTATATTATACTTAAAAAAAATAAAAAATTGTTATTAACTTTCAACTAAGTCTACATTAAGCCTAACCTCGAACAAAAGACATGTCACACCCCAAAATTTGAACAATTAAATATTAAATTAGGACTAAATCTATAGCGATCCAGGTTTTTCCCCGACCTTCATTGTGTTCTGGACTCGGGTTCCGTGGTTGTATACTATTGTATATGCCTTGTTTCCTTCCTTTTACTCTTTGTATTTGAGTTTTGGGTCGTGTTGGGTGAGTTGGAAATAGGTTGGTTGTGAGTTGTTTCAAATGGTTGCTGTCTGTAGACACCTCATTTTGACCACCTTAAGACTTGGGCGTTACTGATGGTTTACTTGGTGGTAAAATGTGTGCAGGGCAAAGGTTCAATTTCTTCGGCAATGACAGAGTCAAATCGCAACTTCATACCCCTTTTGGACCAAAACAATCTTGATCAAAAGATTTTAGATCTTAAAACTATAGCGATCCCGGTTTTCCCTTTCGTGCTTAACTGTGATCCGGATTCGGTTTCGTGAGGGTGCTGTTGTCTTATCCTCTTTCTATCCCTTTCTCTTTATGTTCGAGCTTGGGGTTGTGTTGGCCAAGTTGGGAATAAGTTGGTTGCGTTTTAAAACATAAAGTGTTTGCCCAGTTTTTGGTCTTTCCGCTCGAGCGGCGATTTTGACGCTCGAGCGGGACTCTGTTGTTGCTTGTCCGCTCGAGCGGGGGTGTTGGCGCTCGAGCGGGGAAATCACACATCCAGTTTTTCGTCTGCAGTGGTATACGCTCGAGCAGGGGATTGGATGCTCGAGCGGGAGTATGTGTCTGACGCTGGAGCGGGGAGTTTGACGCTCGAGCGGGCATCATGTCTGTAAATGTTCTAGGAGCGTGCATCCGCCGCTCGATCGGGGGATTGGACGATCGAGCGGGGATCTATGAGTGACGCTCGAGCGGGGAGTTCGACGCTCGAGCGGGGCGACTTTTATATATAGCTGAGATCCGACCTTTTTGTTCACTTTTCAACATCTTTTCTCTCTCTTACTTTTCCAAAAAGGTATTTTGAGAGCTCCTCTCACTAAAATCCTAACTTCTATCTTAGGATTGATCTAGTAGGAGTTATTTTCTCACCTTGGGCCTTTACAAAAGTTGTGTTCATCGTCGAGGGCTATCTTCTAATCTGAAAATTTCAGGATTTGGAGCATTTTCGTTTCTTCGTCTCCTTCGTTGAGCCCCATCATTCGAGGTAGGGATAACCTACTCCATCTTATGAGCTTTGTCTTTAAATTTTAGCATTTTGTTATGTTGGTGGTTGTTGGGTAATTTTTGAGAAAGTTTGGGCCTTTGTATAATTTTACAAAAGTTGGGGTTTTAAATATATAAACCTATATGCATGTTAGGCATAGAGAAATGAGATTAATGTTGGGACATTGATGGAAATGGAACCTTAGGGTTGTTTTGTAAATTATGGTAATTTGCCCTAATTGGTTTAATTAATTAATGCATATAATTAATTGAAGAAAGCGAGGAATTGAATTGAGAATGTTGAAATTGGGAATGTATGGGATTAAAGAGTGTAGACAAATCATTTGTTGCTCACCTAATTGGAATGTTGATATATTATCCACTTGTGCATTTATTTCCTGTTTAGAATCTTTTATTGCTCATCTAGTTGAAATGTTGATATATTATCCATTTGTGCATTTATTTCCTGCTTAGAAATAATTGCTTTGGGCTACCGGTGGAGGGTAGTGTTGATTGTTGTAGACAATGCATGTTGATTAGGGAAACTAAAACTAATCAATTGGTTGGGTCATAGAGTATGACGGTTGATGGAATACATTAACTTTATGTATTGAGTGATTGTGTATATGACCAATGTGTTTATAAGCATTATGTGTAGACGGTTGATAGAATACATTAACTTTGTGTATTGATCGATGTGTATATGATTCTGTGTTTATATGCATTGCTTGTGTAGAGGAGGAGATGGGGGATGTACTCCGCGGTTTAGGGGAAGATGGAGGATGTACCTCTAAACCGGATAGGATTGGGAGGAGATGGGGGATGAACTCCGTAGATACAGCTCATATTCTTGTCTAGAGAAGTGAAGATACAGCTCATATGCTTATCTTTGTGAAGTGTAGGTACAGCTCATATGCTTGTCTAGAGAAGTGAAGATACAGCTCATATGCTTATCGTTGTGAAGTGTAGGTACAGCTCATATGCTTGCCTAGAGAAGTGAAGATACAGCTCATATGCTTATCTTTGTGAAGTGTAGATACAGCTCATATGCTTGTCTAGGATTGGGAGGAGATGGGGGATGAACTCCGTAGATACAGCTCATATGCTTGTCTAGGATTGGGAGGAGATGGGGGATGAACTCCGTAGATACAGCTCATATGCTTGTCTAGGATTGGGAGGAGATGGGGGATGAACTCCGTAGATACAGCTCATATGCTTGTCTAGGATTGGGAGGAGATGGGGGATGAACTCCGTAGATACAGCTCATATGCTTATCTTTGTGAAGTGTAGATACAGCTCATATGCTTGTCTAGTGAAGTGT